TTTTATTATTTAGACAAAATAATACTTCATTATACTTTTCTAAATATTTTAATTAATAATAATTTTTCACTGAATTTTTCTACTCTCTTAATAAAATATTATCGAAATATTAATGAAATTATAATGAAATTTTAATGAAATTGGGTCAAAATTGTGAATGCTTTTCAAACATATTTCAGCAAAAGTTCATTATATTTTCAATGAATTATTTCCATCAGATACAAATATCTCAATTGAGATCTTACATGCGAAATTTTGCGGAAACCTCAACTGAGAATTCAATTGAGAATTTAATTGAGAATTCAATTGGGAATTCAATTGTGATCTCAATAGAAATTTTTCAGTAGGGATATTTCTTTTTGGAAAGAAGCATGCAATAAATTAAAAAACATGCAATTTGTTGAAAAAGGAACTCATCAAATAATTAAAAAGAATGGGCCAAAAAGTTTGAGAAACTGGTTTCGTTCAATTAAAGCTATACAAAAGATATGGAACATATTGCAGAATGCTAATTTTGTAACATTCTATTTGAAATGTCTTAATCAGGATGTTCTCGAAAACTTTTTCAGCCAAATTAGAAATTTTGGAGGCAGTAACAGAAACCCAAATCCGAAGCAATACCAGGAAACATTCAAAGCTTTGTTAATATGTAATATAACGTCTAAGCATTCTTTTGGAGCAAACTGTGAAGAAGATAGTGTAGGAACATCCTTAGCTCTATCACATTTAATGAATTTGAATGAAGTAGCACATGAAACAGAAGCTGCCGAGCAAGATATAAATATAGAAGAAGCACTTATTTCTGAAATTACAAGTAACAAATAACAATAGATCCTCTCAAAATTATTACAACTGTTAGTCATGATCAGAATATTTTACAATGCGCAATATGTCCCAATAATCTGAACGATGCAGAAATTTTATATTTTATAGAACATGTGATTGCCAAACTTGAAATTAAGTTCCTCGATATTTGCTGCGAAATTAAAGTAGCACAGAAGATAAAAAATTGTAGAAAAGGAAGGACAATTATTACCATTATTGTCGCAATGTACACATTTAAGAACAATACTTTTTGCAAATATTATGTATGAATTTATTACAACGTGGTGTACATATATAAACAACATCTTATGTAGAAAGATCACGACAGATAGCGATAATTATATGTATAAAGCAGCAATACGAATGTCAACAAAATATGCAAAAAAAAAAAAAACTGTGAGACAAAATAAAGAGAAGACTATGATAATGCACTTGGAATAACTTAATTTCAAACAAATTAATGTAATCAATAAAAGATTATATAAATTAAATTTCATTCCTATGTATTCATATATGTGCGCACAATG